CATATATAATTGTCCATACATATGATTGAAGAGTATAGTTATCTCTGGAAGGTATGCGCCACCAGTTGCATGATACACTGACAAGTGGGAAACCAGTTCTGTCACATTCCAAATATGATATTTAGGTATAGTTGCTTATCTCCGTACTTGATCGAGTATTATACGATATTTAAAAGTATTTCGCCACGGCCACCGCTGCACAGGCTGCACACTGACCCCATTAAGCAATACAACAGAAAGCAACCATCCAATCCCAGCCCAACAGATTGATTGGGTTATTTGTGTATCGTGATCCCCTAATTTTTAAACCCAAAAATCTTTCATTTTAGGACAACATGGAGAAATGGAGAGAAATCATGAGGAGGAAAGCCCAGGAATTCGTGAACGAGGCCTTGGACAGCCGTAACCAAATTGCTGCATTGGGCGCACCGTTTATTCGCAACGGCGCTGTAAGTGGCTTGTGGTGTTGTGCGCGTGTGTGTTTGTAAGGGATTTGTGTGTGTGTGGGGGGGTTATGTGTGTGTGTTTATGTGGTTTTTGTGTGTGAGTGCATGTATGTGCGAGTGTGCGCGCGTGAGTGTATGTATGTGTGAGTGGTATGTATACATGTGTATTGGCGTGTGAGTGTATGCATGTGTGCGTGTGAGTGTATGTATGTGCGGGTATGTGTGTGTGTGCGTAGCGTATGTATGTATGTATATGCATTTATTATATGTATGTATGCGTATACATTTATTATATGCGCATTTGTTGGTGTGTATTTTTGTGCGTGGGTGCTCAATGCTAAAATGCAGTGACATGTCATACGCACAGGCTTACGGTTGCATCTGAGCAGCCAGGCAAATTCATGTCACTGTCACAATAGACGAAACTAGGTATAGCACATTAAGGGCTGTAAATTTTTCCGTACCTCCGGTCTTATGTGCGTACGCGTTTGTATGTTAACCCTCACGTATGTATTTATGATTATTATTGTACATCTTATATCTTCACAGATATGATTTATATCCATACATCTCATGTCTTATATCACGTATGTATCTGTGATTATTATTGCACATCTTATATCTTCACAGATATGATTGTATCCATACATCTCAAGCCGTATATCACGTATGTATCTATGATTATTCTTATACATCTTATACCTTCACAGATATGACTGTATGTCGTATATCTTCTCATGTCGTATATCTTCTCCTTGTGTAGAGATTATTACTGTACATCCTATATTGTCACAGATATGATTTATATCCATACATCTCATGTCTCATATCTTCTCCTCGTGTAGAGATTATTACTGTACATCTTGTATCTTCACAGATATGAATGTATCCATACATCTCATATTTCATATCTTCTCCTCGTGTAGACCATCCTGACGCATGGACTATCTCGCGTGGTCCTGCGCCTTCTACAGAAAGCGGCGGAGGAGAAGCAGTTCAAAGTCATTGTCACACTCACAGACGATGCCTCAGTGGGGTATGTGATGCGATGACTGTGGCTGATTTTGAGACAGCGAGACCTGTATATGT